AGCCATGAGAATAAAAACTTTTAATAAAAGTGTAAGACATAATAATTTGATTCCAGCTGAGTTTTTTCCCAGAGGAAGAAAACAAAATAACAAAAGCCCAGAATACATACCACCAGCAAATATTAAAGCTTGTATTACAATTGGAGCAGTGCAAAATGCAATCAACTGTAAAAGCTATGGTATTTTAATACCTATCAGTATAAAATATCTATACAAAAAAGTTATATATGTGTGTGCATGTGTATTAGCCATTAAAATATACAACACTGTGTGATCACTTTCGCCTATTGCAATTTTAATAATGTAAAATAAAAAGAATTTGGAAGAATTTGATTCCAATTTTCCACCCACAAATATTTGCCTTTAAATTACACAGCTCCTACTTATTTCTTAAAGAATCACTAACATTTTCTGAGGCCTCTTGGCTGCTCTTAATAGGTTAACCAATTTACCTCACTAAGAACAATGCTCAAAGCTTTGCTACCTTCCCCATCCCGGTAGTGAAAAACCCTAAAGAGAGTGGAGGAAAGAGCAGGTACAGGTGATCTTCCTCAGCCTTACCTGTCCTCACTCAGAAGCCTGCAGGGAGCAGGATGCTCTCTGGGAAGTGGCCCCTACATCCCTCTCCTTTTCCAAGCTGCCACACCCGAGGTTGTGCTGCCAGATTGGGCTCTGGAATCCCTGTGCTGCTGCAGCAGTTTTGCTCTGCACATGTCTGAGTGCTGCTGGTGGGTTGAGGTTTTCCTCCCTCTCCCTGGACAGCCCCACATGTTCCTGGATCTAAGCTTAGTCTGACAGTTCATGGTAAAGCTCTGCAAAGAACAGAGGACAAACCTTGACAGACACAGAACAAACTGTGGAGGTATACTGCCACACTCTCTCCCAGCTGGAGCTTCCCCAAGCACACAGGGCTTTGTGTCCAGGCAGTCAGTGCTCTTGGAATCCAGATAGGTGGCAAAGGCAGCACAAAGAGCTTTTAGTTGCAGAATTTGCCTTGATGAAACAGTATCACACCTAACCAAAAGCTACAGAGCAGCAGTACATGCAAGTTTGTACACATACTCCATTCCTGGGAGCTTAATGACAGGTAAGTTTTGCTGGGATTCAATTTTTTAATCCAGTTTGATCCTGCCAAAACCCAAAGCCACCAAGCCACCACCGGTAGGGAGCATGGTGAAAGACAGAAGTATTTATTCCTTGCATGGTGCTGGCATTTGCTGCTGTCTCACCAATCCAGCCAGAGGCCAGTTGAGTGTTTTCAAAAGAAAACAGGCCCAACAAACCTGGGGACAAAGAAAACTGCTTCCATTCCTACTTCTTGGCTGCACCTCTTCAAAGTAAGATTCAGAAGATTTAAGCCCTTTGCATATTGCTGCCACTTCTGAGTGCCACAGCTGATGGCAGCAAACTCGGCACTGAAGCAAAGCACAAATGCCTTACCCATACTTGTAAGGAAAAAAAAAAGGACATTGTCTCTCACTCTCACCTGCATTATTTGGGCTTTATGTCCTGTCCTGAGATAAAATACAGCTGCATCTAGTTATCACCTGTTCAGAAAGGAATACAAAAAATGCCTTTGAACTGGCTACAAGTCAGGGCCCAAATGTGTAGGACACTAAAACAAAAAGGAGGGGAAGAGGCTGAGGTGCTGGCTGTATTAAACAAAAGACAAATCAATCACAGAATGCAGAGCTAACATTTATTTATTTTTAATTTTCACGTTGTCTGGATCACATGTAGAATGGCTCACTTTTCTCTTGGAAGAATGCAGATTTCTGGACTGAACTGTAAAATATTTGGGCATTCCTTTGTGCACAGGACAAATGCTATTGAAGGAGACAGCTCAAGTGTATTTCTTCTTTTCAGTGAGTTTTTTTTATAAGGTTGTGGGCTTGTTCTAATACAGTCTGGAGATACTGGAGACTACTGCAGTAATTTACCACCTTAGACTGTCCTTAAATATCTGGTGTCTATGAAACCACACATTTCTAGAATTGGCTCAGTCATCAGTCTTAAGAGAAATCGTTTTATCCTGATCAGATCAGATCCTTTTGGACATAAAGATCTGCTTTTTGAGACATATGTCACCAGTAATGATACACAGGCCTCAGAAGTTTCTCATCCATCTGTAAAATCATTATTGCAGGATATTTTTACCCATCAATATGCTGGCTCCTCAGGGGATCTCCTTCCCTTGGAACAGCAGGCAAACTTTGATTTTTGACACTTGCCACTGAGTGGGAGGGGAAGAACATACAATTACAACAAAAAAGCATAACAGGATTAAACCCAATTTCCTGCTCAGCTAATAAACCAGACAATTTCTCTGGCTCTCATTTACAGTCCTAGGGGTACCCTATGTGTTGCATTGTAACTATTACAGCTCAGTGATCAGTGGCAACAGACAAGTCCTTGAGAGGAGGAGTTAATTAGGCAAAGAGAAAAATCTTTATACTTCTCACCCAAAGATTCTTCCCATCACACAGGTTTGGGGTTTTTTTTTCTGTAGGCATTATAAAGATTTACAAACAGTCTCCAGTCTTACCTCCCATTGTTTATCTGAGAACTGCAGGACTAGAAAAAGAACTTTCCTGAATAATATTTGAGTCTTTTGGTAGACAAGGCAGTTTTCTCTCCTTCTGAAGCCACATAAGCAGATGTGGTAACCACTAAACCCCATTTCTCACATGTATCAAGGACCTCCACTATGCAAGAGTTGGCCATGCTGTTCAGTGCTCCTCCTGCCCTCCCCCTCCCAGCCTCTAACCTTCTTCCAGCCCTCCTGCTTTTCTTCTCCCAGCTCTTCACGCTGCACTGGGTATCTATCCTAATGCACAACCATCTTTCAAGCAGCTAGAGGATAACAAATAAGAACATTAAGCCATGAAATTTATGTCATTGTTTACAGAGGACAGCTTTCTATGAAATACAGCAGTGACTAAATGAGCCAAAAAAACATTTCTGTCACTAGTTTGAAACACAAATCATTTGTAACAACATGTCTCATCTCTCCCAGAGCCTAGAAGCAAAACATTATTTTCAGTCTCTCACCCTCAGGAGAGGGTAAGAAAAAGCAGACACATACTTAAAGGTTTCATTTCGAAAAATATACTTGACTGAAAAACACTTTAGTTCACTGCTTAAAGCTTCAAATGAAACAAAGACAAGTCTTAAAACTCTTTCCTAAAACTAATATCTAAATGCAGTAAACCACAGGTTCTTTCCATCCATAAAACTCAGCTTTGTGGTTTAAAATGATTGCCACAGGACTGTCCTGTGATACCAGCTGGGAACTGCACCAGAGATCTGCCACCATTCTGACTTCATCTGTTAGAGCTTTGAAAAGATAGATAATGCTGTGGAATTCCTGCACATTCCAACTAATTCCTTCACTACCAAGTCACCTGACTTGAGACTTTTTTGTTTGTTATGGGAACGAAGATAACACACATTTCAGAGTTGCTCAAAACGAAGACTGGAGTAAGAACCAGTAAAGTCTCCCATTTTCACTGGCTCCAAAGCATGCAGAACAGGAAAACCAACCAGATCCATCAGCATGTCCAGGCTGGTACAGATGGTCAGTCTAAGCTGGCACAGAAGGTTGGGAATAAAGTGACATCCCTGAGGAAACCCTAAAGGGCACAAATGCTTTTAAAGTGTGTCTGCATAGTTATACAAAGTGCTACACAGGCTAGAGAGGATGTCATCCTGCACCTCACTGTGGCTGATACACCCAAAGCCATGACACTGCAGCTATGAAGAGATGCTCTCAGCAACAGACACCCCCACCCTTTGCTAAAGCATTTACCGGTCTCTGGGTAGCTGCAGGATTCTGACAGGCAAATACCCGGAATAGCTCCAACAGAATGTCAAATAAAGGTGTCCCCATGAGGGAGGAGTCAGGCTCTCAAATTGCACTGCAATGGACTTTCCATCTCTTCAAACAGAAATGGCTAAAGTGGAGGGAAACAGGTAAAACAAGGTTACTCCACCCAAAACATACTAATTACTGCTGAGAAGACTGGGAAGCATGAGTGGCAGGCTTTGCTTCAGGAGTTCAGGGCAAAAAATTTGAGAAACAGACCATTAGCTGTGCCACAAGGATTTCTTTTCTTGTGTGTGTCAAACCTATGCCTTTTATCCTACAGTCTGAAATCAGCCACTCAAATCAGCATTTTCCTGAGGTAAAGACCACTAGTTTTCTCTTAGGCACAGTTGGTTTGCCAGATGAAAAGTGGGTTTTTTTAATGAAACACAGCAAAATCAGTAAAAGAAAACTATTTTGAGGGGCTGTCGAGTAGTACTTTACTTCCCTCTTACAGCACAAACAATACTAATCCTTTGCAGTGATTTGAAAAGAAAATGAGGAATTTTCTCATTTTGGAAATGAGGAATGAGCTGGTTTATGGAGAGGTACCCCTGAGTGCTGACCATTTTTCAGACCACTTAATGAGCTGTTTCTGAGTGGGTATTCAGAACAATATGAAGTTTACAGTGTAGGTGATAAATTCATAGAGATAAGTTGCTTTCCAAGAAATACCTTTCAGTGAGGTACTGGAAAATTTACTAATGAGAAAAACTTTTCTGCTCCAAGCCTGGTGTGCTACTGCTCTTTCTAGCAAAGTTACCATAGAAAGATTAAAACCATTCAAGCTGTCAGTAAACACAAGATGTTTGTGATAGCTTAAAAAAAACATAACCAGAATCAGCAAACCTTTCTCTTATTTGGAAAAGCCTTCAGGCCTGGCTGATTTTCCTAGTAAGCTCACAAAGAAAATGTTGTGTCTAGAATGGAGTCACACTCACCTGAAAGCACAGAAGGAGCAACTGATTTCTATTCTGATCCCACAAAAGTGTGTCCTAACATGACCAACAAGCAAAGAGAATATTCTGAATCCTGTACCACATCAGGAACACCAGGTAAGAGCACAGAGTGGTCCCTTCCAGACAGGCATATCACAACTAGGGAAAAGGAGAAAGCCAACTCAAAATAATCTAAAAAGCTTTAAAATATAAATGTTTATTTAGCTACAATATTTAAAAGTACAATATAAAGATATAAAACATAGAAATTCCATAACTAATTCACATGCTAAAAGGATTATTTGACCAGCTGCAAGGAGAAGACTTCATGAAATTCATGGATGTTTTAACCACAAGGGTTCAGACTTTTAGCCATCAAGTTTCAGACTTGAAATACTGAACAACCATTGCAGAGAACTTGCTCTCCCACATCACCATAACTAGGGGAAAAAAGAAACACAAAAAACCAGAAGAAACAAAAGTCAGTAATGTTTCTGGAACATAACAATGGCATACTATTCCATTATCAACTGCAACCACGGGACTCCCACACAGCACACTCAGTATTTCTTTATACCACAGAATTGTTAACAATGAGAGAAAAAAAATTAAGATTATTCCTTGGAAGTGCATGCATTCAGTACTAGCCAGCACGCAATATCGTTGGTGGGAAAGCAAGAGAAATTTTTGCCTCCTACAGCATTTAAGTAAGAACCTGAACTAGACTTGTACTACGGTTGATTAGTGTTCACACACGCATCTTGGCTTGCACGTTTCAGACAGTTTTACTGCTGCTAAAGCGTGGCAAGAGTTTAACTCCTTTATGTGTATGAGCTAGATGTCTGCTGCACCCAACCATCAGGCCACGTGTAATTAAAATAAGCTTTCAAACTCGAAAGGCACTTACTCAACAGCGGAGCACAAAGAGCAGGTAACCGTGTTACAGCAGCTGCAGAGCCTGCTGCAGCTCTGGCAGACGAAGCGGTCACACTGCGCACACGCCTCCTTCACATCGGCCGTTCTCACACACGACGAGCAGGCTCTGGACGCTCCCACCGGCAGAACTGCTTGGCAAAGACACGGAAAAGAAGGGATGAGCTTTACAGCAAGGCAGGGAAAGCAGCTGGAAGCCCCAGGAGCCGCAGAGCGCGGCGTGTCCGTGCACAGCTACAGGTGGCAGCACTTGGCAGGACGCTCGGGAATGCGAAGGGACAGGGAGCGCCGCTTGGAACTTTCTTGGTTCTTTCTCAGTAGCAAGACTAAGGGATACTAAAACAGACCATGCACGCGGCAGTTCTGAAATTTGTCAGCTCAAATCTAACACTTCTTTTAAGAAAAGTCAATAAAGAAGAACTACGCACCACAAAACTACCCATCATAGACAGACCTCCTTGTGAGGGGAGGCCAAGGGACAGCACTGGTCTCTGTAGTGACCAGGGACAGGAACAGAGGGAATGGCCTCAAGTTGTGTCAGGGGAGGTTTAGGTTGGATATTAGGAAAAGGTTCTTCACCCACAGGGTGGTCTGGCACTGCAACAGGCTCCTCAGGGAAGCGGTCACGGCCCCAACCCTGCCAGAGTTTAAGAATCGTTCCAACAACGCTCTCAGGCTTATGGTGGGAACGTCGGGGATATTCCGGGCGGGACAGGACTTGCACTTCGATGGGTCCCTCCCAGCTCAGGGTATCCCGCAGTTCTGTGCTACGGCCCGGGCACTCACCCCTGTCCGCGGGCCGCCGCCGCAGTTTCCCGTCGTGGCCGATGAGGAGCTGCCCGCTCCAGCGGGGCCCCTCGCCCTGCGCCTCCCCGGCCGGCCCCGGCTCCGCCGCACGGGCTGCGGCAGCCGCGCCCTCCATGTAGGCCTGGGCACCCCTGAAGAGCAGCCGCCGGGTCCTCTCTGCCGGCGGGAGAGGAGAGCAGAATTAGGGGCGGGCTCCCCATGCCCGCGGGCCGCGGCGGGCCGGCACATCCCCCCGGCGGGGCGGCCGGCCCGGCGCTCTCCCCTCCGCGCCCCGCTCACCGAACACCTCCCGCCGGTACTCCTCGCCCCGCACGCCGCGGCTCAGCTCCCGCAGCCCCACGCGGGTCTTCAGCTGGAGCGGGGCCGCGTCCCCGAAGGGGCAGGAGCGCTTCGGCATGGCCGGACCGACCGGCGCCCGCTCCGCCCCGCGCCGCGTCACGGCCGCGCCACCGCCTCCCTCACATCCCGGCCCGGGCGCTCGGGAACCGCGGCCGCTCCTTTCTTTCCGCAGGGAAGCGAAAGCTTCGTCCGCAGCAGAAAATTTCTCTTCCCGCCGCGTCCCGAGCGCCCGGCGGGGTTGGCAGAGGCGCCGGCCCGGCCCCGCTGCCCCCGCCCCTCAGGCGTCACCTCCGTGCGCCCGGAGCGGCGGCGCGGAGCCGGCTGGACAAAGCGAAACCTCTTTTGGGACTCGAGTTTGTCGATAAACTTAGAATCACGGATATGCTGGGTTGGAAAGGACCCACGGGGATTATCGAGTCCAGTTCTTAGCCCTGCACAGGACTGTCCAGGACTGGCACCATGTGCCTTAGAGCGTTGTCCAAAGAGCTTGAGAGCTGAGAGCTTCTTGAACTCTGTCAGGCGTGGGGCTGTGACCGCTTCCCTGGGGACGCTGTTTTAGAGCCCGGCCACTCTCTGGGCGAAGAACCTTTTCCTAAACCTCCCCTACACAGCTGGCGCCCATTCCCCTCACGTCCTGTCGTTGTCACCAGGGAGAAGAGATCAATGTCTGCCCCTCCTCTGCCCCTCATGAGGAAGTTGTAGCTATGCCTTAGAGCGTTGTCCAAAGAGCTTGAGAGCTGAGAGCTTCTTGAACTCTGTCAGGCGTGGGGCTGTGACCGCTTCCCTGGGGACGCTGTTTTAGAGCCCGGCCACTCTCTGGGCGAAGAACCTTTTCCTAAACCTCCCCTACACAGCTGGCGCCCATTCCCCTCACGTCCTGTCGTTGTCACCAGGGAGAAGAGATCAATGTCTGCCCCTCCTCTGCCCCTCATGAGGCAGTTGTAGCTGCAGCGAGGTTTCCCCTGACTCTCCTCCAGGCCGAGCAGGCCAAGTGCCCTCAGCTGCTCCTCATACTGCTTCCCCACCAGACCCTTCACCTTCCTTGTGGCCCTCCTTTGTAAGCTCTCTTATAATATAATCCTTTTTTATTTTGTGGCACCCAAAACTGCCCCCGGCACTCAAGGTGAGGCAGCCCCAGCCCAGAGCAGAGCAGGACAATCCCCTCCCTCTCCCGGCTGGAGATGCTGTTCCTAATGCCCCCAGGACAAGATTGTCCCTCCTGGCTGCCAGGGCACTGCTCACTCATGCCCAGCTTCCCATCAACCAGGACCCCCAGGTCCCTCTCCTAGTTCCCCAGTCTGTTTCTACATCCAGAGTTGCCCTGTTCCAAGTGCAGAAGCCAGCATTTTCCCTTTCAAACTTCATACAGTTGGTGATTGCCCAGCCCTCTAATTTGTCGAGGTCTGCCTGCAAGACCTCTGCCTTCCAGGGAATCAATAGCTCTTCCCAGTTTTATCTGTAAACCTACTTAGCATCCTTTCCAGTGCTGCATCCAACTTATGAACCCTCTTTTCCCTTCTTGGCAGGCCCCCACACTACACTGTGCTCTTTGTGCAGCCTAAAAGAGCCTTGCCCAGGTTTGGGCTGTGGAACCAACAAAAATGTGAACAAGCTTGAGAATTTCCTCTTTGAAATACCACCAAGGAGGCTGGAGAATCCCTGGCCAGGAGGCTCTGGTGGGCTTCTCAGCACCAGCCAACATCAGGAGTGGGTTCACCACTTATGGGCACAATGAGTTTTTGAGAATTGAGACCCAGTTTCAGCTAAATCTGGAGTTCTCCAAGACCTTCTTCGGTGAAAGGGAATTACTACAATTAATTAGCTATTTACAGATGGGCTCTATAGCACCGCAGGTGTGGTTACATGGGTTAAAGTATCAGATGCCATTTCAAGTGGCAGCCAGTCTGGGTACTATGTATATTTTGAAAATACATTGTTTTCCTCAGGGCAAACAAGTTTAAAACTGGTGTTGGATTTTACATGCTATGTTTTGTGTCACTTGAAGGTGATCTGTCAAGACAGTTCTATTTCTTCCAGAGGTCTCTGAATTCAAAACTTCCTCTGTATGTACTGTGGACAGAATCACAGCCAAGTACAGGAGCGATTTTTTCATGAAGGAACTTACAGTCTGCTAAGGGTGAAGGACTTGTTCCTGGTTTCTTTGTTTTGTTCTGGTCAAAAACAAGTTATCAAGTAAAGACTTATGTTTCTTCCTGAAAAAAAACAAAGAAACAAACACTCTAAACACCAAAACCCAAACAATAACAACCTTCTCAAAAAGTAGTGATAGAATCAGTATTTTTAAAAGCCTTTCTTTCATTCAGAAACTCATAAAAATGTACATTTTCAATGTACATTTTCAATACTAGCACAAGACTTAGAATGACATAGATTCATGTGCTGAAAATGGGCCACAATACCTAATGGACTAACTCTTGTCTGGTTTCATTGCTCGAGTTCTTCCAAAACTGCTGAAACCCCAAGAGGAGTGGTACTAAGAACAGTGCCTAACTATGGCTGTAGGATCACAAGCTATCCTGACTTGGGAGGGACACACAAGGATCATCAAGCTCTGCATCCTGGCTCCACCGAGGACAGCCCTAAAAATCACACCAATGCCTGAGAGCCTTGTTCAAACCCCAAAATGATGAGAGTGAGTTGCTGAACTGCAAATAGTTTGCAGGTACAACCACTCTGGTTTCATACAGGTTAATCTGATTTTTTAATTGTTCTTCTGTAGAGCTGATGAGCCCAGCCTTCTGATCTGTGGAGCAGAAGCCATGGTTGTAATTCACAGCAATTCCCAAAAATCCCTTCTGAGCTCCAAAATCTTACTCCTGCCACTCTTTCTTTATCTGCAATGATTTCTGCTTTGGCTTTTTCTGCAGATACTTGCAAACACATGCTTAAGGATGTTCAGCAGAATTTTCCAACTGCATATGGAAAACTCATGGCCTTTTCTTTCTAAGGAAACTACTTTGTAAATATTCACTAGCTAGACACTCTGATGTCCCTGAAGTTCTCTGGGGAATAGGGGTTAATCAGAATGTAATTGCAGTTGGAAAGAGCCCTGACAGGATAGAGGACAGTGGATCACACATGTTTCATCAGCGTGGCATGGGATAAACATGGATGGAACTCAGCTGTCTGATAACTGGATGAAATATGAAAAAAGAGCTAAAAGCACCATTCCACTTGTGGGGAAGGAGTGCTCTGAAACACTGATCTCAAATATGAAGTAGATTTGAAAGGGAGTAGTTCATGCTGGAACAGTGCTGCTTTACACTTAAGAGTAAATTTAAGGGTACTTTTGCAGAATCACAGGATATTCTGATTGGAAGGGAATCACAAGGATCATCAAGTCCAGCTTTTGCTGAGGGCTGATCACATTTGACACATTGCCACCACTACCCCACTGCAGGAATCTTCTGTTGCAGCTCTGAGTCAGCCTCAGGTGGTGACATCTCTTAATTGCTTTGTAAGACTCACCTTCACCAACATCTGCTACTGACCAGCTCTCTCCTCTTTGCAAGCTATGAGAGCAAAATAATTCTGACTGCTCTGTACCAGCAGGCCTGAGCATCCTGAGGAGGGAATTGGTTCACCTGCCTGTCTTCTGAATTGTTACCCAGCAGAATGGTGCTGAGCATTTTATTAGTTCCAGAGCAATGAGCCTTGAGGAAGATCCACTGATGATTTGGAAGTAGATAAATAGTGATCCAGGCCTTAAAATACTTTATCAATCCCTTCAGCTTCACTTATACCAAAGACCTCCTCTCCATGTCCTTGTAGTAAAACTTCCCATTTTTTTCTATTCCTCCATTTCTAAGCCATTTAGAAAGATTTCAAAGCACATCACATAGAGGTGGGACTCTGCCTCCCACAGCTCTTTAAATAGGGAGTTTCCTTAGTTGAATTGGTATAAAATGAATGGCTTTTGGCAAACTCACTGGTTCTTCTTTAATGTTTTCATGCTAAAACGGTTAAAGAAATAATCTGGGAATTCTTTCAAGTGGAAATTATATGATAGTAGCTGATATAGTTGGCCATGTGCCAGCCTGCAGTCTGTGTTATGTGGGATGGGCTATCAGGACGGGCACACATCCCCTGGTGGGCCTAGGGTAAAGAACCACTCCCTATGTGCCCAGCCCCACTGCACTGTCCTTTCTCTGCTCTGCAATATGGATCTGAAGATAAAAAAACTATTATTGCATAAAACTGCTTTTACTGGAAGGGCTAGGGGCGGTTTTCTTTGTTGTGTTCCCTTTCCTTGTACATCAGCCTTAACAGACATGTTTACAGCTGGGATCAGGGGGCTACACCTAGTTCAGACATTATCTGTTCACAAGAGCATGTTGTTTCATGAGGACTTGCTAGCACAGAACTCATGCCCTCATCTTGATGAGCTCTTGATGAGGTTCATGCATCCATAAAATATTTGACAAGCCTATGATATGCAGGATTAAGGGCTGGGGTCTTGAGACATGCTGCTATTAAGAGAAGACTCTGCTATCTTGTCACTGCAGCCAGTGCTTGCTCTTAAATTAGCACAGCATGGTTGAGTTTCAGAGCATGTTTCGTTCCTGCAGCCCTGAGATGCACCAGTGCTGCAGCAGATCAGAGCGCCCAAGGGTCCCACTCACTAGAGGGCACCCTCAAAACTATAAATTATTTTTGCTGTTACAAAGATGTTATTGTTCTGCTGACAGGGGTTTACAAAAGGGCTACTTTCCCTGGTTTTTTTTTCATGGTTGTTGTTGTTCCTGGCCCTCCCATAGTGTGCTTTCATTTCTGTTGCACTGTTTTCTTTCAGTTTGCTTCTTTCCAGATTATTTTAATCTGTCATGAAAAAAGGAATATTAACTCTGACAGTGAGAACTGCTATCACTGACCTAACATAGTGCCAAGGGCTCTGTTTTCTTTCTCTGCAGGCAGCAGTGTTTTTGATTTAATTCTAGGTGGTTGTCCTAAGAATTCTTTAAATCTTTATCCAAGTAGTGCTATCCATTATTGAGTGTGGATTTACGTGGGAGAGGCTCTGAGAGGTAGCTCTGTCCTTTCACTATCCCCACACAGTACAAAGATCCTCTCCCACACATCGCTTGGGAAGGGATGGGCAAAACCTTCCTCCCTCCATGCTGCAGCCGCATCCAGCCCTGCTGTTATTATTTTGTTGTGGAAGTGAATCCTTGCTTCGAGACAGCTTTATGTTGTTCCTGGTATGCTCTCCTCTCTCCATTCCCCAGAGCAGCCGTTCAGCTGGA